CCCCAAAACCCCAAAACCCCAAAACCCCAAAACCCCTTAAATAGAGTTTCATATTGAAAATATAATTATAAGTAATCATCAAAGTTAGCTTGCTTTTTCTTTCCTTTATTTTTGGCTTTGTTCACATTCCGCTTATATTTGGCTTTCTCTTTCATTCTCATTTTCTCGATCTTGACTTTATCTCTAACATATTCTTTATTAATGACTATATTAACGTTAAACAAGGAGTAAGATAAGTAATTTACCTTTTCTTGTCTTAAATTTACTAGCCTGGGTATCTAAAAATCGATTAAAGAAGACAAGAATACCTGTCTCATGCTGTTCTCCCTCTCCTTCAGCTTCACTCTCCTGCTCTTTCTCTTCTTGAGCTTCTTTTTCTCCTTCAGTTTCTTGGTCACCACCTTCACCTTCAGCTTCTGGCTCTTCATGGCTATTTTCACTCTTAGTCTCTTCCTGGTTTTGTTGGTCGGTGATCTGAATAAGCTCAATAGTCTCATTTTCTTCTTTCTCAATGTCGATGATGTCTTCCTTTCTCTGAACGTCATTATCCAGAGTTGGCTTATCTTCAAAAATCATGTTGTATTTTCTGTCGAAGTACTTCTGGATACATTGTACATCTCTGTTGAAGTAGAATTTGGCATCTTTGTGGTCTATAGATATCATCTGGGGGAAATCAATCAAGGTGACATTCTCTTTATCATCAATCATAAGGTTGAACTCATTAAAATCTCCATGGATTAGCCCATTCTCTGCTAATTGTATGCACAAATTCATCAACTTGATATAAACTTCCTTGGGGTTGATCATCTCAGCAATATGTGTCATTGGGTAAGCATCTACTCTGGACATTAAGATTGCATGCCTGTTATAGTCAATAGGTTTTGGTGTTGGAAACCCTCTCTCGTATAAAGCTTTCATAAAAGCATATTCCTTCTTAGCTGCTAACCTTGAGATATAGAACCAGGAAAAACTAGTTCTGTGCTTTAAGTAATCTCTTTTATCTTTAACTGCTCTGAAAGAGGTTCTTCCAAGCCTTTCAAGCTTAACAATGATATTCTCACCTTCTGGAGTCTCACAAAGGTAAATATCAGATTCTTTCCCTACACCGAATTTGCTTCCAATTTTGGTGATATGGCCCCTCTTCATGAAAACTCTTAAGGCAAGGTAATCATATCCAGGGTAGTTGAGTGCATACCCATCACATTTAGTGTTCTTATGCATAATCAACTTGTGCTTCAGTAAATTCTGAATAATTTTGAACGTGTTTGCTCTTTTAAGCTTTGCGATGGATTGAATTAATTGAGCAGGGACAAGCTCATGGTTCTTCATACCCATCTCAATTGCTGTTAGCACTCTGAAATCTTCTTTTGTAAGATAATGAATTAACTAGAGATTTATAATAAAAGACTTACATCTTGATCAAGCTTCATTTTATCGTGTTAAACTTCAATTTTTTTATACTTATAGGGGTTTTGGGGTTTTGGGGTTTTGGGGTTTTGGGG